TGACACCAAACTAGTTACCAATCTCCTGTTTTTCAGCTTTGCAGCAACTGGAACAGGAGCTGGCAGGTCGACTTCTCTTACTAACGGACTTAAGCCAAGAGCAACAGAGTGAGCTGAATCTTAAAGCTCCAACTTCCTTCCAGCTCCGCATAGGTGTGGCGCGGGACTGGCCTGATGCGAGGGCAGTTTGGTCAGTATGGTTTTCATGGATATAGAACCTGCTCTGGTCGCAGGTAGTTAAAAGTTTGATTCCCATAAATGCCATAATCTTCCTTGAGAGACACTGAAGAGAATGTTGAGAGACTAAAATCCTTACACCTCATGTTATGGTCACTATATGTACCTAGAAGATTAAGCGGGGTATACTTTAGCACTGACCTGTTTTGTGGTTGTCAAGATCGATCAGTTTTCAAAATGAAATGAAATGGCAATAGTTAAAAGACAGCTTGAGATTTCAAAATCGGGACTTTTTAAACTAATAAGTGATATGGGGGTGGCTGTAGCTCAGGAGGTAGAGCAGGTCATCTACTGATGGGACGGTTGGTGGTTTGATCCCTAGCTCCCCCAATCTGCATGTCCAATATCCTTGGGCAAGATAATAACCCCGAGTTGCTCTCCAATACAGCCATCAGAGTATGAATGTGTGTGAATGTTAGTTAGAAAGCACTTAAAAGCGTAGAAGAAAGTGCTTATGTAAATGGGTGAATGTGGCATGTTGTATAAACTGCTTTGAGTGCTCTGGGTTATATAAGAATCAGTTCATTTACAATCTTGGCTACAATCTATAGTCACTGTCAGCTTGTGATGTTTAAAATGAATTAAAGTCTAATTTTTCATGCAGGGTGAGTGAAAACAGGAGCCTGTTGGTCTGGGTCAACATAGATGAGCACCTCAGGCTGGTATCAATGCGAGAAGATGCCAATGTGGCTGAAGCTTTTCAATGCATCTGCATCAGCTTGCAAAAGGTAAATTTTAATAAATGAATAAATAATGCTAATAAAATTTTCACTGTACCCCCTCCCCCAACTTGTTGCTTGTACATTGGGTTTTTTCCCAGTGGATGAGAGGGCTGCCTCTCTGCTTCTTCAGATTGGGTATAGGTGCTGACTGGCATTTGCACTTTTATGCACCAAACAACAGTTGAGATTCCCTACTCTTCTTGAAGCTGCTGGGTGTGGTGCTGAGTGTTCCCCACCTAGCATCTTCATTGTCCTAACAGGGAACTTGGGCAACAAGTCAGGTTTCTTATTGGACTTCTGTTGAAATCTTAATTTGTCGACAAGAATTAAGATGTGCCGTGTGCACTTATAAACATTAGGATGTTTATAAGTGCACACGGCACCAGGACACCCCAATTTGCAGGCCACTGACCAATTTTATAATTATTATTATCCGATCTATAGCCAGGAAGAACA